TTTTGTGCAAAGTATTAACGTCCCAGTAATGGTCAATGAATAGTGTATTTTTAGAAATGAGACAAGATCAATACTCCCATCCAGATGTGCATTCCTCTTACCTGGAGGATATCTCGATCCAGAATTTTTGTTTAGGCCCTTTCTCTTCTGTCGAAGCCTATGGCTGCCTTTATTTTGGGGAGATAATAAATTAGCTCCTTTTAGGTGCTTGAAAAATATCTCTTGACAAACTCTGAAAACGCTTTCTATTTACATCCAGTTTTTCCTGAGCTGAGCTGAACGCAGCCCGATGCCTTAGAAATCCTCATAAAGTTTCCGTGTTCTGTCTCTTAGGTCCTTAGGTTTCCTGTGAATTTAGTGCTAGTGAAGGTGTTGGAATGGCAGCCTTGGAGATTGAAGTCCTCTTTTCCTAATACAGGTACAACGTGGAGAGGTGACCAGTGTCCCTTGTGCTGCCCTGCAGTGTTCCTTCTTTTTTGACCTAAGAAGGAAACTGTCTATGGGTTAATGGGGAGAACTGAGGGCCTCTATGGCCAGGGTGGATGTATTTACATTGCCAGACTTTAACCATGGCTTAAATCAGCAAGTCTTTTTTTACATCACTGATTTTAATATTGTTCTGCATAGTCACTTGTTGGTTTATCTCAAAGAATTTGTTTGTCACTGGTGAGTAACAATGAAACATCTGCATTTACAACTCAGCGTAAGCTTTGTGTCAAACTTTGTACTACATTTTACAAAGAGCGTAAGTCTGTAAAGAATATGCGTAGAGTTTAAAATTTATTTTTGCACGTTCCTAGTTTTGCATTTTGTTATGTTAAAATGGCCAAAAAAAAGTTATTCTACAATTTTTATTTTTTTTTAACCTGTGTCTTGAACCAAGCTGTGTTGGGATGGAAGCGCAACTGAATCACCGAAGACCAGCAGTGTGGCATTCTTGTTGGTTAAACTGCTCTGTGTTGGACTCCTAAGAGGCTGTCTTGTCACATTGTGCCTTGAATAATAATTGCTTAATGGAAGTATTATAGTTGCCGAATATAACTGTTTCTGGACAGAGTGTGTTTTCAGTGTTCTGTAGCTAGCAGCTTTCCTCTCAGAACTCTGCTGGTTGATTGGAGGAGAAAAACACAGTTTGTGGTTCGCCTAAGAACACGTTCTACTGAAATTCAGTGCCACGCACTAAGCCAGTGACTGTCACCAGTTCTGTTGTCCATCCTTTAAAGCTTATGCAGCAAACATGAACTACCTAACTGCTTTTCAAATTTAATTTGAACAATTTCTAGGTAGAGTTTCTGAAAGTTAACAGAGCTCTCGCTTTCAAACAGAAGTACTTCTTTTAAAAATATGAATTTTTTAATCCACCCTGTCCATGGTTCACTGAGAGATGGATCTTTGTTCAGATGGCGGAAGAGAAGCCTTTGTTCATGAACCTTACTTGCCTCTACACGAAACCAGGATCAGCAGTCAGCAGTTATCACCTTGCCGACGATGCTGTGCTGCCCTGCTAGGGTGGCAGCAGTCCCCAGTGCACTAAACCTTTACGTCAAAAGTCAAAGCACTCGGATTCAGCTCTTCCTTCCACTGCTGGCCTTTTATTTAATACATCATACTTTAATTTCCCCATAGTATGAGAGTGATGAACCGTCCATCTCTGCTCTGGAGTTCTTGGGCAATAAATGTTGTATGTGTGGGGGGCTGCACCAGAAGCCAGTGAACCTTTTGGAAGGTGTGATCCTGATTTCATGCAGATGTGAAGGTAGTAAGGGCTGGGGCAAGAGAGATACAAATACAGATTTTATAAGCTGCTTTAATTCAACCCAGGCTATCTTTCCATGTGGAAGTAGCTCATGAAGCACGTAGCGGGGCTCGTGCAGCTGCCTGAAGTAGGCATCTCTGCTTCTCTGGATTTGCTGGCTTCGAGTAAAAACCTTTTGAAGCTCTGATTTCAGCTTTGCAAAGCAATTCTGAAAGGGCAGTGCTATAATTACTTTGATTTATTCTTTTCAAATTCTAGTGGAAAAAAAAAAAATCAGAGCTGTGTTCTTAGAGCTCTAAGTGGAACGAGTGCATTTTTAGTGCACTAATAGGAATGCAGCTTCCCCCTGCCTGGGCTGGTAGTTTTTCCTTTATCTTGATTTCTTTTGATGGTAACAGCTACATTCAAGGAACAAGCATGTGCAAAAGCTGCACTGTATATAAGTTCAAAACTTTTTCTGTTGCTGTGTCCAGCACTTGATTGGGAGGAAGATGCTCTTTAGAACAAAACACTTTTTTTTTTTTTTTTCCACTCTCCGAAATTGATGCTGAATCCTAAAATGGGAGGAACTTTCTGGACCCTTGTCAAAAGCAGAAATTTTCTCCTAGTCCCCAGCCTGCAGCATGGCTCTTTAGAAATGCTAAACAAGTTATTCTTGCTTCTCTGCTGAAACAACCACTGATCCTGATAGTATCAGCGCTCCTGCTCCTGTGAAACTCCTGCTAGGAACATGGTTGTGTTCATACAGTTTGGGGTGAGGAGAGAGAAGGTGGCTGTCCCTGAGCAGAGGCATTGCTTGTTGTAGAGCCTCTGCTCATCCGAGAGCCACGACACTCTGCGTGTTGTGGGCCTGCCTTCAGGATTAGCTGGTCTCCGTGACCAAAGGGATGCCTTTCTCTCTGCAAGCTGGGAAGCTTCCTCCTGGAGTTGTTTGGGCTCCGTTTAAAAGCTGTTGGCTTTATCGGTATGTGCTGCCTGTCCTAACCTGTCTCAAAGGAGCATTCAGCAGACTTTCCCAGGTAATCGTGCTGGGAGGTAATGCTCAGCTATACTGTTTCCCAGCCAAGATGTTGGGAACATGTAGCTCCCAACTGCTGCCTGCCTCTTGTCCTGAACTGTTGAACTCTCAGTTTCATGGAGAGCTGTATTGTCACTGCTGTAGGACCACAGATGATGAGTAAAGTTGAGAAGGAGAAGGTGAACGTGTGGCTGTTGGTGACTGTAGAGGTGTCTTCACAGCCTGGGGGAAGATACCCAGCACTTTCTGGTGCTCGTGAAGATATCTGTAGAAGCCTCTTGGATGAAATGGGAATTAGTCTGAATCTAGAGGGGCCTGCTGCTCTCACCTTCTGCCTATCTTTTGCCTGCTTACTTTGTGGTGAGCCTAAAGACTCTTTAGAGTAAAACACATTAGTTCTCAGAGGACCAGCTGGTGCATTACCCCAAGGGCACCAGAAACCAGATCTGCCTATGTCCAGAGTCTCTTTAACAGCATGGAGTTAGTGGTGATCTGCCTCTGAACAGCTCAAGACTCCCAATATCCTCAGTTTTAATTTTTCTGGTTTTGTCTATTTTCTTTGGTTTTGGAAATCGGCAAACCATTCTGCTATGCTTCTGTTTCCTGTGGCAGTGCCCCCAGCAAGCTTTAGCACAAAGTCTTCCCCAAGGATCCGCTCTTGGTCGGGATGCTCTTGGGGAGGTGACCTGAGATCTAGCTGGCTTGGAGAGAGTGATATTTTGCAGTTTGTCCTTTTCTTTGGCCTCAGCTTTCCGGCAGCTGGGTAGAAAGCAGGGAAGACCCTGGTTGGGGAAACCATCGTAAGAGCTTGACTGTTCACCCGTGAGGACAAGCCTTGTATTGCTCAGTGTCACTGAGGCACAGCAGTACCTGTCAGCTTCAAGAATGTCCTACAAACAAAGACGAATTTGTTATCGGAATCCATGATGCTAACTGGATTTTAAGGCTAGCCAGCCAGAGGGGCAGCCACGTGCGTGAGGTGGAGGCAATTGGCACGTGCAGCCGGGGAGGGTTCAGCCGTGTCGGCCAAAAGGTGAAGGGAGACCATGATGGGCCCTGTCTAAGGGCGTGAGGATCTCTGCCTTAGCATATAGGAGGCGCAAACATGCAGGTGTGCGAGCTGTACACTGACTGCTCACTAGTGATTGCAGACAAGCGTGTAAT